TGGGATCAGGAGAGCAAAGCTGTCCTCCTCCAGGTCTCCATTTACTTCATAAAGTGGCATCCGGGATGGGGTGGAGGCCTCTTACTGAGATCAAGACCTCATCCCTGCACTCAAGGAGAGTCCTCTAAATATTCATAATGATACAGACTGAGAACTGTGCTGGGCTGGTCTGCAGTCAGCCTTCAAGACACCATGATTTAAGGTGGAGAGTGGAGCCTAGAGTCATTAGCCCAAGAGATCAGCTGTTCCTACTAAAAGGGCAATGCCCTACTCAGGTCTTCAGCATATACTCAAAACCTGGCATAAACCCAACTGATTGTGATTCACTTAAATCTCAGGACATAACTCCAGCCAGCTTCTAGCTGTAAAGGGCCCTGGGAGTACCTTGCTCTTAAGAGCAGTGTTGTCTTTAGACTTGAACCCTGAACTCCCTTTTCTCTGGCCATGCCACTCCCTACAGTGAGAAGTTCACAGGCTCAGGAGATGTGCTCACCTGGAGTCTATGACCACCTAGTGTTCATACCCTCATTCTAGGCTGTACTACTAGAATTCCAGAGTTCCCTGATCAGATGACCCTTTGCTTGCAGGGGTCTTTCCCTCATAACATCTTTCTGAGGGGAGACATTGACTTGTGCTTCAGTATTTTTAGATTTGATGGGTAGCTATTGGGGGGGTTGTGGACCATGCCTGAACCCATAAACGGATATACCCACATGCATGCAAGGACGCCTTTGCCTTTGCCGTGCAGGATTGAGCACCACTAGGAGCCTTGTTATTTATCTGGCCCTAGTCCCTGCAAATGGCAGGAGCCAGCCTGTCCTGAGTCTGCCCGCTGAAGGCACTGAAAGCAAGACTTGATAAGGTTCTCCATTCCATGTCCTGGCCATGGCTGGTACCTACTATTGTCTACCTCCTTCTCCTCCCTTGGATCCCCAAGGAAGCTGATGGGTCCCAAGCTAGGTGAGGAGCAGAGGCCCCTGCATCAGCGGTGTTGCTTGCTTTCTTGCGAATGTGAACACCTACACACAGAAGAGGGGGAGTGTGAGTGTGAATGTACCCAAGTGTTTGGGTGACTGTGAGCAAGGAAAGTGAGCAAGTGAGGGAGAGTGAAAGAGAAGAAAAGGAAGGTGAGCATGTGAAGAGTGTGTATGTGAGGGAGAAGAGAAGTGTATGTGTGTGCAGGTGTATGAGGCATGGAAGGCAACCCAGTTCACACCAAGTGCCTGCAACAGTACCTGGGAAACGTGTATGACTGAGGGTCTGGGAAAAGACAGAGAATGCGAAGCAGAGGAGGGTGCCTTCTGATCTTCATGCATGTGAGGGAGACGGGGTGCGGGGTCAGTCATGGGGGGTGAGAGAGAGATTCAAGTTGGAATGAGAGCTAGCACAGCTGTCCATCACAGGAAGCCTGCAAGGTGGAAGCAGGCGGATGGGGTGGTGGCGGCGGAGGGAGCTGAGCGTGTAAGAGGAAGACATGCAGGTGTGTGTCCTTTGGAGGTGCGTGTCCACCCCCACAGGACTCTGTGAGGCAGAGGCAGGCCACGTGCCTGGATGACTACGCGTGGGTATGTGCCACGTGTGTACGTGAGCGTGCAGCTGTGTCAGTGAGAGCGAATGTGAGTTTGGGGCCCATGTGGAGATCCCCGGACAAGCCATTCTGCAGCAGCTCGGGCTGTCTAGGTTGCTGGCCATGCCCCAGGGGGTTTCTATTTCAGGAAGCTCAATCAGAGAGACTTATACGACCTGCCTGATGCTTGCTCAGGTCTGGGTGACCATGGCTGGGAGTGCTGGCCATGTTGCCCTGCCCAGAGGTGTGTGTGGGAATGAATGAGTCACCCAGGCATGGCTGGCCCTGGTTCTGCCTTCTTCTTACCCAGCAGGGAAGACAGTGGGGAGGGGGAGAGAGCACTCAAGAGCTGTATTTTACACCATCATTATGCAATTGCGTGCTGTGTCCGTGCATTTTTCTGAAGGCTCAGCACCCCGACTCTCTTAGCCTATGTACCTCCAATCCATTTGCGTCCAAGTTACAGTTTAGATCAGCGGCTCTGCCTCACAAACATTTTTGGCAGTCTGCTCCATACCAGGCTTGGGTCCACAAATTTATGATGCCAAGCCACCCCCAGTCCTTTCCCATCCTGTCTTCCTGGCTTTAATTTTCTCTACAGCACTTATGCCTATTTATCATATTATCTATTTTACTTTTTGTCTATCTTTCCCTTAATAGCAAATGCCTATACAGTGCTTGCTCTGTGCCAGGCCCTGTTCTAAATTCTCTATTGATTCACTGATTCTCCAACAATTCTAGACAGCAGTGATTATTATTCCTGCCATTTTGCAGATGGAAGGGCCTGAGAGGGAAAATAGCTTGTCCAGGATCATTCTCCCCATAAGTGACAGAGCCAAGTTTGGGTCTGGAGTTCCTAATCTTACCCAGCACAAAATATTGTCCTGTGAAGGTGGGGAATTTTCTCCGTTTTGGTTCACAGTTGAAACTTCAGTGGTTAGTAATAGTGCGTGGCACATGTAGGTGCTCAATTAATAGTCAATGAAGAAATAAGTGAATAAATGCTGAATAGGGAGGACGCAGAGTGGAAAGAGAGGTGCTTGCCTTCAAAGAACTCATAGTCCCATGAAGGAGACAGATAAATAATTATTGCAATAATAAATACCATGTCAGGATGGCATTATGGGACTCTAGAGAGGTTTAAAACTCAGCTGGACCCTGGCAGAGAGGGCTTTCCAGAGGAAGGACACAGGCATGATGACATTGCCTACCTACTCCCAACTCCTCCCTGGGGAGAAGCCCTCTAAACCCTTTTTGCTGCACAGTCCACAGGGTGCCTGAAGACAACAGTAGTTCTTTGGGGACGTTGGAGCAGAACAGGGAAGCAGAGCACAATGGCTCTGGAGAGAGACTGCCTGGACTGAATCCTCCCTCTACCAAATACCAGCTAAATGACCTAGAACAGGCAGCCCAACTCCCTGGGCCTTGGTCCCCTCATCTGTTTAACAGGGTAGCAAATGATACCAGCTTCCCTGGGCACTGCATAATGCAGGTAATGAGCCAGCTTCAGTGGAGATGACTAATATTCCTTTTCCATTCTACATTGTTTCCTGGCTTTGGGGGAGGAAAGGGAGAGAGTTGGAATTAAACATATTGTGCTTATTACTATAACCTCTCTGCTATGGATTGATTCCATTTTTTCAGGAATGGCTCAAAGCCAAATTTACCCATGAACCTTTGTTAGGACACGGACTATGTCTGTTTTATCTACCATTATATCTGAAATACCTAGTATAATGCCTGAGATATAGATAAATATTTGTTAAATGAATGACTGATTACATATATTTAACCTCCCAAGACCTCTGCGAGGATAAATATTCATGTTGCTGTTGTTTCCATTTACAGATGAAGGACTGGAGGCCCGGCAAGGTTAAATGACTTGTCCATGAACACACAGCCTGTAAACAGATCAACCAGACTTAAATGCCAAAGCCCGTGCCTTTTCCTCCACACCATGGCTACTCTCTGGACTCCTATACATCACGTCCCACTTTCTGTGGATTTTTTTTTCTAGCCAGAGGGGCCATCCCTGATTGTAGAATCATCTCTGAATTCTATGACTCATCTCTGAATCACAGAACTGTTTAATAGTTGAAAGGGACTTTTGATGTCATCTAGACCTCCCACCCACTGTGGAAATTTCCTCTCCAATGCTGTATTCTCAATACTTGAATGACTCCAGTGATGAAACACTAATTCTCTTCCTCTGGAATCATTAAGTTCTATGACTGGATCACTTTTAGAGACAGAAAGTAAGTTCTGTATCCCTTGGGCCAACAGGTCTCTCTTTCATTTTTACGTACTGGGCTTACATCCTCCTCCTAAGGCACACAGAATGGGTCTGCTGACCTTCCATGTGATGGCTGCAGATATTGAGACATCCCTTCAGAGAACTCTTTTCTTCAAGCTTGCTGTTCTGGTCCCCACAACTCTTCTGTGAGATGCTCCGTCCCAGACTAGCTCAAAGGTCCCTCCAAAGGGAGCAATGGCTCCCCTACTGGACAAGGGGTGAACTGCACCGAAGGGCTCACTAGGCAGGATAGCTGAGGAGCTTCCTGGGGAGCCTGGGCACCAACACTAGTGTGAATAAAATAACTGCCTTTTCTCTCTCTCTCTCTCTCTTTTTTTTTTAAAGAGTCACTGCTTTAGTGTCACATCTAGTTGTTTGCGACATCAATCTTAGAGGGTGTCACATGGAGACTCCATTCTAAGGTTTCTTACCAACCATGAGGTTTCTGACAAGCTGCTGGTTTAGGACTTCAGTTAGAATTCAAAAGGCTATTTCTTAAGAATTTTTTTCTTTAACCAAAAACTTTGTAAGAGGGATATGAAAAGCTGTGCTTTGCTATGGGATTATGATGATTTTCTTTTCTTTCTTTTTCACTTGTCTTTATTTTCTAGTATTGCTACTATGGACATTTGTTATAAGAAAAAAAATTATAAAAAGGAGGAAACATACATTTAAAAATCCTCTCCTTGCCCCTTTCCCTTTATTCCTTCCAAGATTGTTCATCACGACCTGGGTATGTGGTCTCCAACTGGTAGGGCATGCTGCCACCCTGTGGGCAGGAGTGCCTTGGTAACATCTCCGTGGTGACTGCAATGGCTGGGGTTCAGACAGCCAGGCTCCCAACAATGTGGTCAAAGTCTGCCCAACACACTGCTGGTCAGCAGACATGTCCCTCTGAGCCCTCCACCTCTCAGCACAGCCATAGCTGCCCTCTCTTCCTGGCTGCCTAGAGAAGCTCCAAATGCTAGCAGGTCAGGAAGACATCAGAGATGAGGAAACTCCCCATTTAAACCTGGAGCAGCTGCACTGTACCTCTGGACCAAGATCACAGTTAACCAGACTTTATTCCAGCCCCATGTCAGCAGGGGCCCTCTCTCTGCTGGGAGACCCCGGGGCACTTGGATGCTGGGGGAAACTTACCCGGCAGCCTCTCACTGCAGCACATGTCCAGGGCCCCTCCCTCGGAGTCATCAGCGGCGAGGCTCTCTCTCTCACTCCTGCAGCAGGATGAAAGATATGAGATGAGGCTGTTGAGCCTGGATCAGGACAAAATCCCAAGCAAAGATAAAAAGACTTCAGCACTCTGTCCCTTAAGTAGCCTCACCTTATCAGAGGGACCTGAGGGAAAGACCAGTCTATCAAATAGGTTAGACACCTGCAGAATTTTGCAGGTGTCTTCCATGTAGAATCATCATCATCACCATCTTCCCTAATATGGGGGCTTACTTTGTGCAAAAGCACTTTACAAACTTTACCATGTTGAGTTCTCACCATGACCCCATGAATCAGGGGTCATTAAACAAGTTCAGAGAGATTAAGTAACTTGCCTGGGATCACAGAGCTCATTAGAGTGGAGCTGGGTTTGAAATCATGGATTCCAAGCTCATGTTCTTATTGCTCTGTAGTTCTGCTTCCTAAATCCTGTGGTTTTGAACCAGGGCTGAGCAAGAAGAGGGGTCTGGTAACCACAGTCCTGTGTCCAGCTCACCAAGATGTGCAAGAGCCGTGGGCCTCAGGCAATGGAAAGCAGCAGGCAGAATTCTCCAGAAAGAGCTAGAAACAGGAGTGATGTATGTATTTTGCATCTTCTAAATGTTCTCTTTCTGAAATTAGAAAATCCTCTTTCTAGTTCATTAAGGTAACTTATAGGATTGTCCTAGTCTAACTTTCCTTCTTTACCCAAGAAGCTGGAAAAAGATGGTGGAGATCAGTTAGACCCATGCATGGGATTCAGAACTGACGGACCTGAAGGGCACCTGCACTGCTCACAGGGTCCCCTACTCTGGCAACAGCATGAAATGCAGGGGAGAACTCCAATGGCCTCATCTGCCCTTCCGGTCTCTGGCCTGTGGCAAATGTGGGTTGATCAAGGCTGAACACACAAACCAGGGCAAGTCCACCAGAACCTCTCTCCTGCACAACTGTAATGTATTCTGGAGGCCTGGAGCCCACAGCTGCTGGTGCTGAATCATGGTAGTGGTCATCCCCTGGAGAGAAGGGCCTCAAACGCCTGCTTCCAAGGGCCCCAGAGCAGCCTCTTTCCTTCCTGTGCTGAGTCTTGATTGGATGACATATTCATCAAGACCATGAGATGCCCCAGGATCCCTCAAATAAGTCATTACCTTCTAGCTAAGCCAGGGGGATTTTTTTCCCCCCTGAAACTGACATCAAAACAATCTTTAACACAGATGTACTAGCTCATTGCTCCTAAGATGCCCAGGAGGTCAGCTGTCTCCCTACCCACCTGACAGGGAATCTTGCCTCTCACTGGTCCTGAGGCCTGTTTCAGGTCCAACTGCAGATTTTAAACAATTAAGGGCAGGCAGGCCAGGTCAAGGATAACTCTTCACATTTTGATATTTTCTTCTCTTAACTGACATTGTGTTGTTTTATTTTTTCCTCACTCCAACTGGCAGAGTCTCTGAGTCTCAGGGCCCAGTGTTCCTGCAGAGAAAGGGCTACTATCTTCCAGCCAAATGACAAACTGTAAGGGCTCTCTTTCTTTGATGGTCTCTGGCATCCACTGAGGCTGGCCTCCAAGACCTTCTCCACATGGCCCCAATGCACATGGCCTATAGAGGTTGCCCAGTTTATACCCTGCACAACTGGATGAGGCAGGCTTGAGCTAGAATCAAAACTGAAATTTGTCACATAACCTTCCTTGAAAAAAAATACTTTCATGGCATCCTTTTATACTTAGAACAAATATAAACATCCTTTGGCACAGTTCACTAGCTCTTGTGTGATGTGGCCTCATTTATTCCTCCAGCTTTATTGCATGTCCTTCTGCCCCCAACATCTACATTGCAGCCACTCTGGACAGGGTCCTTCCCTTCACAGTTTTTTGAACATGTTTTCTTTGCCTGGACAGCTCCTCCAGCTCTCCCAGTTTTTTTTTTTTTTTTAATTTTTATTTTACTCATAGCACTTGACACACTTGGGAATTCATTTTAATTTATGCCATTGTTTGATTAACTAGTCTCAGACATTAGACTATGGGCCACATGAAGCCAGGGACCGCCATTGCTGTTTTATTTACCATTGTGTCTTCAAAGCTGAGCACAGTGCCTGACTCACAGTAGGACGTTCAAGGTTTCCCTGACATTCTTAAAAAAACCTCAGGACTTCAAACATAGCCATCATCTGAGATACTCTGTGGCACGTCCTTGTTAAGCTATTTGGAACCCTCCCCCACAGCTGCTGTCCAGCACAGTTAGAGAAACGCAATCTGGAAGGGCTCTCCCTTTACAGAGGAGGAAACCGAGGCAGAGAACAGGAGTCTGACTTGCACCAAGCTATAGACTGAGGTTGTGGCCTCAGGGTTCGGGCTGGAGAACTCCTATCTCCGACCTGCCAATCATGAGCTTTCTTTATACCAAGGAGCATGCTCGCCCAGGAGGGCTGACCCATGACGGGGTGGGGGTGGGGTAGAAAGTCACCAGGGTATCCTCTGGAAGGGACCCAGGTGTGACTCACACCTGCTTTAACACCTTAAGCCTACCAGGCCCCCAGCCGCATTCAGAATAGCTCAGTGCTGCCTGTGTGCAGCGGACTCTATAAATAAGCTTCCTAGAAAATGACTAATTTCATAATCAGAGAAGCAGAAAGAGTAGCACTTCCCAACTGCAGGGGAAAAATGGAACAAGGGCCTGCTGCTCTGCCCCGTGGTAGAGAACTCCAGGAACCCCCTAGGGCAAAGCTGTGCATCTGGGCTATTCAGGGGAGGGTTTAGCAAGATTTTCAAAACAGAGATGGCCCATGTAAACCAGATGAAGAAACCCCATCTCTGGGCACTGCCCTCCTCCCTGCCCACCAGGAACAGAAATAGCTGCTTATAATGGATTGCTATAGGCTCTCTCTCTCTCTCTCTCTTCTTCCATTTCTATCAGCGGGGCGACAGGAGCAGAAAACTGTCCTGTATCAACAGACTGCAACTTGCTGGGCTGGCCCCCCACTGATGCTTTTAGAACCAGAGAACCCCAGAGCTGGAGGTGCTCATTTGACAAGCATCTGCTGAGCACCTCCTGCAGGAAAGGCCCAGAGCTGTCCCAGGAAAACAATAGTGAGCAAGCCAGGCCACTGCTTACCCGCTCCTGACTTTTCAAGGAGAGAGACAAGTAAACATGACTGCACCCGGATGCCTGCTTTAGTTGATATATACACTAAACTAAAGGGGGGAGGCTCAGGTCAGTTTGTGGTGAGGGAGCAGGGAGAAAGGAAGTCTTCTCCAAGGGGCAGACAAGACCTGATTCTTTTTTGGGGGGGATGGGGGTACTGGGGATTGAACTCAGAAGCACTGGACCACTGAGCCACATCCCCATCCCTATTTTATATTTTATTTAGAGACAGGGTCTCGCTGAGTTGCTTAGGGCCTCACTTTTGCTGAGGCTGGCTTTGAACTCATGATCCTCTTGCCTCAGCCTTTTGAGACTCTGGTGTGCGCCACCGTGCCTGGCCAGGAGCTGATTCTTAAAGGATGTTTTTAGGTAGATGATGGGTTGCAAGGGGAAGAACTTTTGGAGCAGTGCAAATAATAAAAGCAGGGCTTGAAGGCCCAAGATTCATGGAAACTTTGGCACTAATGAGAAGTCAGCTGGCCAATGGGATGGGGAATCAGGCTTCAGTACAGGCACATGAGCAAGAAACAGGCTAGACATGAGGAACCCTGCCCCAGGAGGGCAGCCCTCCTCCACTCGACCGTGAGGCTTCCCTGCATTGAGAGAGGGCATATGCTCCCCTTGCCTGGACTGTGGTGGGGAGATCTGTAACAGGAAGGTGGCATATGTTTGTAGAATGGACATTAGATTCAGCTGGTGGCATCTTCTCTGATCCCAAACTACTCCCATTTTAATTGTGATAAAAATCACCATTTAAAGATGTACAATTTGGAAGCATTTACTACATTTATAATGGTGTTGCAACCACCATCATTATCTACTTCCAGAAAATTTTTATCAACCCCAAAGGGAACCCCATGTACTCATTAAGGAGTCACTTCCCATTCTCCCCTCCCCCAGCCCCTGGCAGCCACTAATTTGCTTCCTATGACTTGCCTATCCTGGATCGTTCATATAATTGGAAGCATTTTGTTTGTTTTCTTTCACTTAAAACAATGTTTTCTAGGTTCATACAAGTTGGTAGTACGTGTCAGTACTTCATTCCTTTTTGTGGCTGGATAATTTTCCACTGTCCATTTGTCCATTTCCATTTATCAGCTGATAGATTTGTCAGCTGATGGACATTCAGGCTGTTCAGGCTTTTGGCTATCATGAACAGCATTGTTATGAACCAAACTACGCTTTCCCATTTGTTCCCAGCAGACTTATGCCTTTGGGTGATCCTTTCCTTGCCCTGGGCCTGAGTCCTCACCTATAAAATAAGGTGGTCAGACGCTAAGCCCCTTGCAACTCAAATGCTAGCACCTTCATCTGTTCCTTTGTGTCGTGGAGGGAATATTACCTTATAGCTATTCTACCAGTGGGCAGAGGAGCCCAAGTCTGCTTCCAGGATGGGTGACAAGTGAGGAGGAGCTAGGATACTGAAGTCAGGATTCCTGAGTGTGAGACTGAGCCAACCCCAAGCAGATGAGGTCTGTGCCTTGGACTTCATGCCCCTGGACCCCTCTGAACACTGCTGCATGGAGTGCTTACCAATCTCCTAAAGCTCCAAGTCCTCTAGACATCTCTATTCACTGAATCAAACCTCTCGAGGCCTTTGTTCATGCTGTTCCTCTGTCTTGCCAAATCCTACTCGTTCTCTAAAGCTCTTCTTAGGCATATCCTCTTCCATGAAGCATTCTCTGATCTCCGAGAAGAACCAAGCTGTCCTGCCTCTGGGTTCCCCACACACCTGGCTCCCACTTCTGTTGTCTCTTACTTTGTTCTGCTGCTATAATTAGCTGTTTATGCACCTGCCTCCCCCACTGGCTTTCTGAGACTCTGGAACATCCTCATCCCCTCCACCACTGCGTATCTAGGCATTCAGCACAGGCCCTGAG